TTACTGGGAAAACAACGGGAAAAGATAGATTCTCTACCAGGGAATCAGACTTGGGAGCTAACATAACTTCCACCAGGGAGTGTATGTACCGGGTGAAGACTGCGCTTGATATCAATAAGAGGTACAAGACTAAACTTGTTGAAAAGTGCTTTCAGCATAGGTAGATTATTGCCCATACAGTGGGAGGTGTAAGCAAAAACATGAGTAACCCAACAAAAAGCTTGGAGGTACAAGACTATGTTGACGCTGACATGTCGACTAAGGGTGTTACTCTTGAGAAGATGAAGTTGTGTTCGACTTCAACTGGTCTTCTGGCATGAAGATCGGGGCTTTGAGTTGCAGAGATAGAGGATATCACGTTTGAAGAAAAGAGCAACGCAGCTAGTGGATGATGAGACCAATGTACCAGTCTCTAAGTGGGAGATTTGTTGTGAATATGCAAGCTAGTCCACTATTCAAATTGACATTTTCTCATCTTTGACAGCAAATTGGATTTGATACTTGAAATTAATTGCTAAAATAAATGCTCTTAATTCATTCTATGATTTAGTGCAGAAAAGAAAATGAAATAATTAATGTATTTAATTAATTATTTGATTAATTATTTGATTAATTCCTTGATTAATTCCTTAATGAGCCTAATAACATGATGAAATTAATAAATAGACATGTTAGCTCCCCTTGCTATCTCTCTTGGGATTTGGTTTCCCCCCAACGTTTCTTCTTCTTGATGATGGCTCTCGAGTAGAGAGAGAGAGAAAGAGAGGAGAGAGGAGAGAAGAGAGAGAGAGGAGAGAAGAGAAAGAGGAAGAGGGAGTCTTTCTTGTAAACATCGAGGCGTTCTACGGTATAATTCCTCAAGCTAATAAAATCCTCTGCAATTCAATCCTCTGCAATTCCGTGGACCGTGGACGTAGGCAATTTGCTAAACCACGTAAATCTGTGTGTTTCCGTTGTGATTTTCTGTTTGCGAATTTTTCTTGATCCTATTTTTCGTTTTATTGTCGTCATTTTTTACAACAATATAGACTCATATTGTATCTAAAAATTGTACTTTTGCATCTAATACATCCTTAAAAGACTTTATAAACTACAATTTTTTCAATTGGATCAACTTAAATCATATATGACTCCTGCTGGTGAATTTGACCGGCTTTAGAGGATATGGTATTTATTTTTTAAAGGAATGGTAAATGCAATTGCGATAATACTAACAAAATGATTATAATATTCCTTAAAATCAAAAGATCTGCATAAAACCTCATGCAGTTTTTCTAGAATTGCAACTCAATTCGTCTTGAAATTCAACTGACAAATTCTAATGAAACAAATAATCATATCATAATACCGAGATAAATAATATTTAATTGTAAGCCCTATATGCCTCACATATTATTCATACAGACAATAATTATTTATTTTACAATCCTTATGTTGATCATGCAGTTAATCATAAAATTGCTAAATAATAAATGCAACTATTTAAGCTTAGTTTAATATTAGTCAATGCAGACTAAATAACAATGCCCCGTCAAAATGATTGACCATGTCCTAGTAATCTTGATTTAGTAGATTTAATTCTTTGAAAACTGTACATATTATGATATTCAAATAAATTTTCCAAGTTATATTATAAATTTGACCTCATGCTAGTCATATTATAGATGTCTAATATCAAAACCCATTCAATTTTGTCTACATTACACCATTTATTATTTTTTATCGAGCCCATTATAAGTCCCACTACTATTGACATGCTAATGCGACATTAACTTAAGATGCCAATTTGATGTACGATATGTTACAATCTTGGGATCCTAAAGCAACGAAATGATACATATGATGAAATTCAAGAAACATCACAGATTAAAAAAAAAAATGCTTCGTTTGACGCAAAATGAAGAATAAGAAAAATCCATACCAAACAACAACTTTCAACACCGCCAAAAAACACAAAAAAATTAGAATTAACAATGCAATAAATAAAACCACAAACGGAGCCAGTTTGACTAAAATCAATCACATACAAAACAAATACTTAATTAAGTAGAATAAGATAAACAATCACCAAGCACAAAAAATCAAAGCCTCACGTCAGTACAAGAACATGAATTCTTCTAAAAAATTAGTAGTTGGCTTCACACTATATGGGTTCCGAAAATTCACACCCCAGCCTCTGTTGAAAAATGAAAGAAAATTTTGGGAAAAACTTTTGAAAGACATGAGATTATAGATAAGACACTACCTAGAGATTTTGCCCTCATTTTATGAGAAATTTAAGATCTGAAGCTCGAGCTTTCCTATAGTCGCAAGCCCCTCTCAATAATGGGAGAATACTTCCGATTAAAACTGATTATTAGAGCGTGGATTGCTTAGCATATAATAATGACGCATTTAGATCATAAAATTTATCATTATTGAGCCTAAAGTGAATCGTGGAAGAAATGATAACAAACCTGATCAATATCCCATAACTCTATCATCTTAGACTTCCATGGTCCTTGGTCTACTTATGTCACACCCCACAACAACTCCCTTCACCAGTCCAGACAGGTCGTAATAATGATGGGTGTAATTTAGCAAACTGAATAGACTTCCAACACCCATTATGGTATCGTACTCACCAAGTTAGAGTGAGAGAAACACTTAATCACCGAAATTTACTTGAATTACACGTAACACATTACACCATTTTACATAATTCCAGTTGATGTGCATGAAATTTGAGATACATTTGCTCGTGTTTTCCTGTAGTATTTCCGCTATTTATATCATACTAATGCTTTTCTAAGAATTTTTTATGTAATTTGCAGGTTACAGGCTTTAAAAGAATAAAGGAGTGCCTTACCATACAACTGGCATATCTATACTATTTGTGGTATGACTATGCTTCATCCCATACACCAAACTAAGAGGCAGGCACCTATGCGCCAGCTAATGGGCGTAGGTGTGTCTAGCCTAGCGGTGTAGCTATGCCCCAAAGTTGGTGTAGCTACCCCGCTCTACACCAAGTTTATCAAGCCCAACACATCTTGGCGCCGCTATGGCACATAGACGCCACCTACAAATGTGAAGAATTGGAGAAACAGAGAGATCAAGGCTTCGCCGCTCTAATGAAAAACTTCAGCACCAGTGAACCAACTCAGGGAGTTAAGACAGTTCGAGTTGACATGGAGAGATTGCGCGATGATTCATCACTATAGATGGAAATTCAAAGTAAATAGTGCTTCTCTCCATAGTTTTCCAACACTCGACCCTTGCATTGACATCGAGAGGAAAAATATAGAGACTGGAAGTAGTTGCTGGAGAATTATTACAGCCGTAAATCATGCTTCCTCGAAGGTACTCTTGGAAGAGTGTGAGAGTTCTCCAAAGAGAGAATAAGTGTGAAATTATTGTACTCAACGTGGTGGAAAACTAGGAATTTTGTCATAATTTCTTCTTAATCAGTGGAGAACATCGATAAGATTGTTCTAAACTTTGCTTACTTTGATTTTTGAAATGAAATTTGTGATATTTTTATCATAATGAGTAAGAATTAAACTTCTCTCTCATTTGCATTGAATTATATACAAATTATAATAATTTTTTATGGGATTGTGTGTAATTTGAAATTTAAGTTGATAGTTAAAACTTTAGCATTTAATTTACTAATAAATTGATCACTTATGATATAAAATGGGTTGTGATCTAGTACTACAGAAATAGGCTAATGGAACCATAATGTTAACCTATACTACTCAAAAAATAAAAATACTATTGTTAGGATGGTACAATCATATAAAAAATTTTGCAAACAATGAGATTTTTTTATTTAATTTTCTGAAGTGTGAAAAGGTGGACGGGATAGGGTTATATGTGTGTGTGCATATGCACGTTTTTATTATTTCTCATGCCTTCTTGTATCTTGCTTTACATTTTACATTTGTATCGGATCGAAGTAATATTTTGTCCATCCAAGATAATGTTCAAGTTTCATAAGCATTAATGCAATACATTTAGCAAACGGGCCTCGTATGATTCATTTCGAAAGTGATCAAGATAATTAGGCTCAACTTGGATATTATCACGCATGTAGTCTGCCGTTTTCCTCAAGTTCAATCGAACTGGCTATGAAATGTCTCTTCTTTCATAGTTTTGACATTTCGAAATGGACACATTCTGCCTCAAGAGAAATTGACATTTGAGCGGTTTTGACTATAGTCGAGTCAATTTTGGAGCAACTAAAGAGGTCAACACACCACACAAAGAAATCAGTATTCAGCCAAGCATAGAAGATTGAATAAGTACGAGAACTTTATAAATCAAATATCTTTATATATATATTCATTCAATTTTTAGTCGGTTATACAAAAATATTCAATTGAAAACCACAGGGATTATGCAAATTACATGTGAATTGGTACTACGGCATGAACAATCCACAAAAAAGGAAACGAATTGCAGGCAAACAATATAGGAATGCAATCTAGCTTGCTCTGATTAGCTGCTGCAGGGAACCACAATTGTAAACGAACTCTACAAAATGCTTAGTAGTTAATAACTGCACTATAAGAACCAAACAGTAGGTCTCATGAACAATCATACAAGCAAGAAAAAACAGTCCATAGGGGCAGCACATTGTCGATGGGGATGAGATTAAACATACACAGGGACAGCTTTTTCGGATAAGGTTCACATCAAAAGTTTTCATGGTGGAAATAAAGTAAATTTTTGGCATGATGTAGACCATATGAAACAAATTCATACCAACCGATACATATAGAGTAAGTATTCCTATATTAAGTTGTTTTTGCACTCATTTTACATCAAATCAAGTATACTTTTAGTGATAGAGATTCTACTTCTAAGCATTGATCTTTGGTATTAATATTCACGTTTCAATAGTTTGTTGACGGAATTTATCAATTATATATTCATTCAAAGACTTGCATAAAGTTATAATTGTTTAAATAGTTCCATGCTTGGATTATATTGATCCTCTTCAAAAAAGTGCAGACCTGAAACAGGGTGGAATCCCTACATTCATTTTTAGCATCCAGCTGCACATTTCCTTCCTCAAAATAGTGTGCAACAACCTGAAATAAATATTTGACGTCAAATTAATCAGAAAAATGCAATAAAAACATTAAAAGTTTAATCAAAGTAAATTCATTAAAAGTTAATGTCTGCACAAACTTTAAGCAAGTTCATCAGCATGGAATCAGAAAATTACCTGCATCTTTCCTTTTACTTCAACAACTTGCAAATCATCCTTGAATTCGAGAGTCCATATTGAACGCCAGCTTCCATTGCTGCAAAATACAAGTCAAACAACTGTATAGTAAAAAGATCCATTTGACTTGATATTTACATATTAATGAGTAGAAGTCTGTTGTGAAGACAAAATTAACTTTTCAAGAAGAGCTATAAATAACCGTGACAAGTTCTAATATACCAACAATTAAGGTGCAGTGTAATACAAGTTAGGAGAGAATCACGCAAAGGGATGTTTAGCTAAAAGCATAAATAAGAAAGACATTGGGAAAAAAATAAAAGGAATAAGAAAGTAGAAGGATATGTAATGAAAGAAAAAAAAAAGTTAAAACCAAAACATTTACGATTGCACACAAACAATGCCCGATGAAGAAGAAAAAAAGGGGCTTTCAATTAAAGCAAGGTGATTAATGAAAGGTCTGCTTAACGTACAAAATACAAAAACAAATAATACAGAAAATGAGAATGCACGTTTTATTGAAACTAGACAATAATATAACTTAAAATTAATTTGGAAGAAAATAGGCCAGAACAGGGCCAGATAAAAAACAAAATCCCTTGTAAAGTGCCTTCAAAAACATAATTTTGAAATTCATCTAATGCAACAAACCTGAACTCAAAATCTAATGATGATGCTTGAGGAAAATAAGGACCACAGAGGCAAGAAATTCTAGCTTATATGACTATGCTTGACATACCTATAGTTGTTATACCCAAATAGAAGTACATGCATACACTCAGGAAGTGAATAGTGTATATGAGAATAAAATGTGGGGTAGGTTTGAATAGGGCTGGTATGCTTGATGTTCCATGCTCTTAAAATGGATTAAATTTAAATCTGCTCAAAGTTGGTTTAAGTAGATCCAAGATGGCTTTTTTGATATTAATTCCGATGTTATCAAATCTAAGACTTTATTTTTACTTCAAAGTGCAAGGAATAGAATGCAAAGGCCCTTTTATTAACTAAAGTGCTAATTGATTATATAAAACTATTAATGTATAAATCCATTCATTAACGATTATAAAATATAAAGTATGATTTAAAAGTTGATATAAAATAGAAAAAAATATGGTGCAATACCTAACTTAAAGGGAAAAAAATCATGTATACATAACTAGCTTCAAATACACTTAAATATACTATTACAACTTTTGCAAGTGCAAATATAAATATACATAAATTATATATATATATAAGAGAGAGAGAGACACACACACACTATTATCAGTCTTTTTCCGCAATAAAAAATTTGCCCTTTCTCCCGCCCTACCTCTCAACTCACACTTACCAAACCACAAAAGGTAGGTTGAAGAGGAACGTCAGTCAGCACACAAGTACAATATCTTATGACTAAATCATATGGCAGAATGTTCATGCATTAGAAGCTCAAAAAAGGTTACAAATAACCTGAGAACTTAAACCTTAAGAGTAAAAGTGTCAAAAAGAACATTAAGGTAAAAATACAATGTTGTGGTGGCCAAATAATAACTTTAAGAATTTCAGAGTAATTAACAAAAAATATAGCATCTACATCTAACTAAAAAAGGATTGACAGCCCATCTCAATCATATATTACAATGTGTTCAATAAATAATAGTACAAAACTCTCATCAGTTCATCACAGTCTTTCAGGTGACAGCATAGAATCTTGATTAAAAAAAAACACCTATGTGAGAAAGCAGTACAAGTAGCTTAAGCAAAGTTGACTAACAAGTTTAAAATAGAGCGAAATGATCAATGTCTACAGCACAAAATAATATTTCAAGCGAACTATTTAGTACTTACACACCAGAAATTTTGTGGGCTAGTCCGTGAAGCAGAAATCACAACAGCAAAATCAAAGCCAACACCTGGACCATCCACATCTTTTCCTCTAGTGCAATAAACTGCACAAGTTCCTTTTGGATAGGTATCAGCAACATATTTGCAGAGTTCAGCATCCAGAGTAAACCTACCAATGCTAACGAGATTAAACAAGCAAAAGAACCACAAAAAGTTTGAATAAACATGAAGAAAAGGTGAAATTATCCAAACCATGGATTTAATGATTATTTTGATATCAATGAAATTATCCAAACCATTTTGCTTACAACAGTGTAAACTCATTTGACTTTTCTCAAGTTCAAAAAAATTCAGCTGTTATTGATTAACAAATATTGAACTTTACAATGCGCTACAAATATTTATTGTTAATGAGAGCAACATACCGAAACTCCTCAACATAGGCTGATGGAAGCTCTTCATCACTAGCAGGTCGTACCTTTGTGCAAACCTGATAAATAAATGAAGTGAAATAGCACACAAAATGACTAAAATAAAATATATATTTGCAAGTTAAAGATGATAACACATATGGCCATGCAACTAGAGATGTAAACGAGTCAAGCTTGAGCAAGCCTAAACATATTCATGTTCGGCTTGTTCGAAAATTCTTTTGTTTGCAATGGGCTCGTGTTCGAAATGGCTCGTGAATAATATGTTCATGTTCGGTTTGATTCTAATTCCCTTGTGTAAATTAGCTCATGTTCGGCTCGAATTTAACCAAATAATTTTAAATAAGGCTACAAATGAACCCAACCGAGCCAAGTAGGACCTTGTTCAATCTTAAACTTGATTTGAGCTCAACTCTAGTAGGATTAATCAAATAGCTTGTTCATCTTTTTATCAAGCCGAGCCATGCCTAGCCTTGCCTTGTCTTGAGCACTCATTCAATTTTTATCTAAGATTATTAAAAATGCAATACACTTAATGAGAGTTTAATAAATTAAACTATCATTAATAAGTTTAGAAAACTAACTACTTCTTACGAATATATCAATAATAAGACAAACAATATCACCTACTTTCCACGAGCTTTTGAAGCTTTTAAATTGGCATGCTTTTGTTTTTGCTTTTAAATAGCATCTAATACAAAAATTCTCGATATGGGACTAATACTTAAACGGTACTTGAAGATTGTCAACGAATAATTCCACGCATCCCACCCGACCAATTAATTCAAGGGCAAGGCAAAGAACCAGAAAGAGGGAATTCTTACAAAATGCTATCAACCTACATGCACTCATTTATTTGCTGTGCATATGTTGTATTTGAGTGTGAAATCAACTAAATTTGTTATTGTTTTTAAACCATTGTTGCTCTCTTTTAAACTTCAGTTTTTTCCTCCTTTTTATTAATTCATAGCTATATTTTTTTGAAACATTTGAATGAAATTAATCATTTTTTATTAATAATACAAAAGAGAATTATTTTAAAAAATATAAATATTTAGTATTTTTTAAATACATTATAAGAAATAAATAAAATGTATATCAATAAATATTATTATTTAATTATTTACATATTTTGACTCAAAGTAAGCCAAACACAAATGAACAAAGTTTTGTCGTGTTTGGCTCATTTATAAATCAAGCTCAAAAAAATTATTCGTGTTCAACTTCCTTGCATAATAAACGAATTAAATACAAGCTACTTAACGAGTTAAACATAAGCTGTTCGCAAATGATAAAACAATATTCTCTAAAAAGTTTCAAACACACTTACTCTAGTTCAACTTTGAGCCATGGCTGATTGAAACCGAACAATATTTAACTCAACCCAAAATAAATGCATCAATTCAAGTTATTCATTCTTTAATTAAAGCATACTATCGCTGAAATATCTCTTTTTTTCCTTTATTCCATAATTGCCTACAATTTTAAAAAATACACATTAACTGCCAGCTGATGGAAATCATGCCTTAGAAATCCAAAACCTTGAAAGTCAGAGAAGAGATAACTGCTGCAGGCCAGCTTATTTTCCAAAAAACCTGCCACAAATGAGATGAAAGAGGGGTTGGACAAAATATTAAGCCTTGAAATTACCTGTTTCATATGATCCACTGTGGCAACCTGAGCAGTCCTAGGATCAAAGAAGTTATCCTTACCAATTTCACCAAAAGATGATATTATTACCTGAAAGTGGCATACATAAATACGCTAATAAGAACCATTAGTGTATGGATATATAATGACTAGGAATGCTTTCAGCTGTTGTCAGCTTGCTGTAAAAAATTAGAAAACCAGTTCAGGACATTGTTGCATAGGTAAGATGAAGAATAACTGTTAGAAGTTATGAGGATTGAATTTATTTTTTTGGATTGGATTTATTTCTTTTTTTTTATTTTATGCTTTTTAATTTTATGTTATTTCATTTATCTCCAAGTGACTAATAGGAATTAATTAATTGGAGAGAGTTAGATATTTTTTTTTCCTGATATTTCTTTTTTCTTGTATTTCCTATTGTAAGTTTCATGTGAGGTGTATTTATACCCTTTTTATATCAATAAAATGATTCCACAGAATTCTCAAAAACTAACATGGTTTCAGAGCCTTGAAACAAACCCTAGAGTCTCTAAAGAAGGATAAGAAGATCTCCTACCCCCGAAAACTTCCTCTCCCTGCAAGACCTAGCCGCCTAAACTCCTTGCAGGAACTAGCCATCAGAACCCTCTCCTTGCAGGCCCTAAACATCGGAAACTTCCTCTCCTTGCAGGGCTTAGCCGTCGGAACTCCACCCTGCAAGAAATAGCATTCGAAACCCTCTCCCTGCAAGCCCCAGACCTTGGAAACTTCCCCTCCCTGCAGACCCTAGCTGCCAGAACTCCTTCCTACAAGCCCTAGTTGGCAAAACTCCCTCCCTGCAGGTCCCTAGCAGCTGGAAATCTGCTTCACCGGTGGAAAACTTCCTACAGACTGCGAATTCCTATAGGTTTCCTTAGTGGAGATGCATTTTCTTGCAGTTTTTCCACTGCATCCAGATCTCCTTTCTGTTGGCGCTAAAATTCTTGTAAGCAGCCAAAACTTCTACTTAACACTCCACCCACAAGAAATCAGACATTTTTGGTTCATAGTTTGAGTCGTTGCAGGAATCGTTGGAGGGAAGCTAAGGGCAAGGTGTATTACAGAGAGGTTGCAATTTGATCAAGCAGATGCATTCAACACACCTACTTCAGGATGTCTTCTATCCTGGAGCCAACGAGGCTTAGTTTTTTTCCCGGCAATGACCAAGATCATTGGAATGCTTGGGCCTCAGTCTGTATTTGCTAAGGTGATATCAATCTGCCTGAAAGTTGGAATGTCTATGGCGCGATTTGACTTTTCTTAGGGAGACGTGGATTACCACCAGGATCTTTGGAAAACCTCAAGACGACTGTGAAAAGCACCAAAAAAATTGTGCGCTGTAATGTTGGACACTATTGGACCTGAGCTACAGGTTGTTAATAAAAGTGGAAATGCCATTTCATTGGAAGAAGAAGCAACCGTAGTTCCTACTCCTGACCAAAACAAAGAAGCCTTCTCTGACCTATTGCCAATTAATTTACTAGGCTAGCTAACACAGTTATATCAGGAGACACAATATTTATTGGTCAATACTTATTCACTGAAAGCGAGACAACTTATGTTTTGTTGGAGGTAATTGAGACACAAGATGATGATGTTGTCTGTGCAATAGAACTCTGCTACTCTAGCAGAGTCTCTATTCACTTTGCACATTTCTCAAGTTCACATTGATTTGCCCACACTTTATGAAGCTTACAAGGTCATCAGTACTTGGAGAGCTAGAAAAAAATTGATTTCCTGTCACTTTTTTATAGAAGGCATGCAGAGAATGTCCACCATGCTCGTGAATTCCTATCAAAGTTGGGTGAGCTACAACAAACTCAAACTTTTACAAAAATTGAAACATTGAGGGATTGGCCCACTTTGATGAACTTCTTCAAGAAGCAGATGACATCATTCTTTCACATGGATATCTCAGAATTGATCTTCCATTGGAAAAGGTGTTCATTCTTTTTTCCTTATAGTCCATACTCTGCAGCTTTCCCTGCAAGTGTCCTTTCTTTTTACCAGCAAGCCATAGCCTACAACGTTCCCTGAAGGTGTTCTTTCTTCCTGCAGCACATACCTTGCAACATTCCCTGCAGGTGTCTTTTTTAACTGCAAAACTATACTTTGCAGTTTTCCCTGCAGGTGTTCTTTCTTTTTTCCTGCAGACCATACCCTGCAGCTTTCCCTGCAGGCGCTCTTCTTTTTTACCTGTAGGCATACCCTGTAGCATTCCCTGTAGGTGTTCTTTTTTTTCTGCAGGCGATAACCTGCAGCATTCCCTGCATGTATTCTTCCTTTTTACCTGCAGGACCATACCCAGAAGCTTTCCCTGCAGGTGTTTTTCTTTTTTACCTGCAAGCCAACCCTTGCAGCTTTCCCTGTAGGTTATATACTTCCCTGCAGCATTACATGTAGAAAATGTCCACCTATCTTCAGACACTGCAAAAATTGCAGTTTAAGACAATTGCAGTCAACTAAAAGAATCTCTAAATGCTCTTAGGGTTGATTACTAAGTACGAAATGAAGACTTTAAATTCTACCTCACAAAGGATCATCCTCGTCTGTTGTTTGATGATCTCAAATCCAAGTTGAACATGATTGGACATCTATGTTTCAACTTGAGGGGGAGCGGTGAAGTTATGAGAAGTAGAATTTTTTCTTTCCTATTTTATGTTGTCTCCAAGTAATTATTAGGAATTAATTAATTAGAAATATAGGTGTTATATCTTTTATTTCATGTTATTTACTTTTTCTTGCTTTCCTATTATAGGATTCATGTGAAGCGTATTTATACAAACTTTTTATATTGATAAAATAATTACGCTGAATTCTAAAAGTTAAGAAAAGAACACTGAAAACTTATAAGAAAAGTAGACCTTAGAAGATGAAAGACACCATGGCCACCTAAAATTAAAGTTACTTAAATTGTGGGTCCTTGTTTAAAATTGCGAAATATGAGGTGTACCTTGAGGCCCGTCTCAGCACTTTTTACAAAAAAATCGCATTAAGGCTTGCACCTCATTTTCCCAAGGTGAGGTGTATGCCTCACCTGGGCTGAGGCAAGCCTCAAGGCACACCTTATCTCAAAAACCAACTCAAATTTTTTAGTATATCCATATTTTTTTTAAACAAGACAAAAAGTAATATCAATATACCTCACATATTAACCCCCCACATCTCATACATTAAAGAATAAGAAATAAAAAAAAATCATAAAAATTTATGTAGTTGAAGTTCTAAAAATCAGAAAAGTTATTATTTTAATTAATATTTTTATAGATGATTATTCTTTATAAAATAAAAAATAATCGGGATTAAAAATAATAAGGAATGAGAGAATATATATATAACTAAGAACAAGACGCGAGATAAATCATTCAATATGTCGATAATTCTGAATAAAATCAATTGGGTGGTAAGAATAATAGAAACTTTTAACTTAAAAATTCAAATATTAATTATTTGTTATATTAAATGAGTGGGTATTGTATAATAAATGAGCTTAATTTACTAGAACTAAATTAAAATATGACACTAAATAGGACGCATTGGAGAAAAAGGATTCATGTAGCCAACCCCACGTAGTGGGATTAAGGCTTTGTTGTTGTTGTTGTATTAAATGAGTGGGTAATATGAGTGAGAGAGAAAGATTAATGTCGAACTTATTTTGATTGTTTTATTTTGATGTTTTAATAAATTTTTTTAATATCTCAGATTACTTTTATGATATAATATTTGTATAACACATTTTATTTCATAATTTGATATTAGGATATTAACGTATTACTTCTAAATTTAAGCAATTTCTTATTTTTATTTTATTTATAATGTTGTTATATTACTTTTTAATGTGTTAGTAAATTAGAATATTAATATTTTATTTTCTTACTTCACACTTTATAGTTTATACAATATTTATTAAATTACACAATTTTTTAAATTTGACGCTTATGTCTTGAGGGTTATGCCTCATCTCACAAACAAAAAATGCCTTAGTAGCCACTTGTGCAATTTCCATTACACTGAGCTAATGGCAACTTTAGTAAGAAAGACAAGAATACAACCAAAAACAGTGAGAACCTTCAAAATACGGAGCAATTGGGCAAAAGGGTAACTGAGACTTCATTATCATATTTGTTATCAGATGAATAAAATGTAAAATGTAGTTTTAAGTACAATGCCACTGCTCATATTGAATCAAACCAAAGTCCCCAGTTCCCCCCAATTGGTGATTTTTACATGATTTTGTGGCTACTCTTAACTGTTTTTTCTGCGCTACATTATGTTCACCATGTTGCTTCTTCAATTGTTCAACAACATTAAAGGCATAATCTAGCCATCAATCGCTAATAATTCTCGTTGAAATCTATTTGGAGAGAAAATTATCCAGGATCTGAGAAGGCGAGCTGAAACATACTCGAATCACCATATACAGAGCACCAAAATCCCTACCACGACCACATACTAATAAAAGCAAGATATAAAAAAACTCACATCGCCGCTTCTATCGGGCATCTCAAGTGCAATAAGGTGGGCCTTGTTATAGAGAGGGAACGCCTCGGCCGCTGCCATATTGTACAATCTGTCGTCTTCAATGAGCAGCCGAACATCTGGAAGACCAAATAACGGTTAGGGCGTCGTTAATAAAGAAAGTGCACGGGGAGTTAGAAGGAAGAACAGACCCTTTGCAATGTACTGGATCTCGCCGGCAGGGGCATTAGTGAGGAACCATTTGGCGATCTCCTTCTTCTGTTTCTCAGTCAGCTCCGGGTTGCCTGAATCCTCTCCCCATTCCTCCATGAGAGGAGGCGAGGTGAAGGGCTGTTTCGTAACACGATTTGAGTGGAGTTTAACCTAAGAGCTGCCAAACAGCCACAATTACAACTTGATATCCTACGAAAGCTTAAATCCCGCCCTCCTTCGTTCTATCTTGAGTACCAGATTTCCTATATCCCAGCGGATTCAGGTACGTTGGCGAAAGAAAGCTTACTGAGGAAGAGGAAGACGAAAGAAAACCATGTAGACGACTTACATGAAAGCACGATTTGAGACTTCCTCGCTTATTTTTCCTCTCAGGGTTTTGGGGAAGTGATTGAAGACACGACACCAAAGTGATGCATAGGTGCCACCTATATAACCTTGGTCCCACCATGATGTGCACCTTTTTAATGGAGTATTGACGCACCAATATTCTAATATTTTTTTGACGGTAGGAGAGTAGTTTCAGGCCAGGGTATGAGAAGGGGAAGTGAAAGACTAGGAAGTAATAAGGATTAAGAATTTATTCATGTTCAAGTATGCATTTGAGACATTTACAAACATAGCACACAATTCTTATGTATTTACAAATCACTCACATAACTTTATTGCTTAAATGTAAAATACTAAAATACTATGTTAATATAAAAATTTAGACGTAACATAAGTAAATACATAATAATTACGCCCCGCTAGCATGAATAAATTTTCCTATACTTTTTTTGGCCAACACATACATAGCATAGCAAAAATTTTGATATTTTTTAAATTAGCATCTATTCCATTATTTTTTCAAATTCTGACCTAAACATAAAATTTTATCATAAAATCTACGCATACTTTATTTTTAAAGTGCTAATTTTGTAAATAATAAAAATTTAGTGTTATACATGTAATTATCTTATTTTTTTTGGGGTTTGGGGTTAGGCTTTCAAGGACTACCGACAACATGGCAACTAGCAATGAGAAATGCCACTTCCCATCTCTCAGGCTATGGTGAGCTGAGTTCCCTTCTCTCCATCTGTGGCAGAGAGAAACGCCATCGTTTTGGTTCCTCTGTGCACGCCGCCATCATCAAGAACACCAATCGCTTCGGCTTCAATAACCTCACCGATCCGAGAAATGTTTTCGTCGTGTGGAATTCTCTCATTGCGATGTACTCCAAGTGCGGCCGACTGCAGGAAGCAGCTAAGGTGTTTGACGATATGCCTCTTAAGGATACTATCTCCTGGAATTCGATAATTTCAGGCTGCTTCATTTGGGAGCAGTTCTCAAAGGGTTTCGAATACTTCAAAAGAATGCTTATTTTGAAAAAATGTTGGTATGATCAGGCGACGCTGACAAGTATTATTTCGATCTGTACCAACCCTGAACTTTTGTATGCTTGTTCTATGATCCATTCATTGATTATTTCAAGCGGATATGGGAGTGTAGTTCAGGTTGGAAATGCTCTGATCAGCGGTTACTTCCGATGCTGCAGTCCCCTCTCAGCAAAGAATGTTTTTGATTCCATGGTTGAAAGGAATGTGATAACATGGACGGCAATGGTATCAGGGCTTGCCCAGTGCCAGTTATTCAATGAAAGTTTACTTTTTTTTCGAGAAATTATGAGAATTGAAGATGCCAACTCTATGACTTACACAAGTTCTCTCTTTGCTTGTTCTGGGATGCGACTTCTCAGGGAAGGACAGCAGATTCATGGATGCGTTGAAAAGTCTGGTTTTATGTCGGATTTGCATGTTAAGAGCGCTCTAATGGACATGTACTCCAAGTGCGGCATGATAGAAGACACAATCCAGGTATTTCATTCCTGTGTTAACCCTGACGAGGTTTTCTCAACTGTGATGCTCGTCGGTTTCGCGCAGAATGGGATGGAAGAGAGAGCTTTCGAAATGTTTTCCGAATTGGTACGCAAAAGCTTTGAGATTGACGAAAACATGGTGTCGGCTGTTCTCGGAGGCTTTGGGTCTGCCTCTACGCCATTTGCGTTAGCTCTAGGGAAGCAAATCCATTCTTTAGTCATCAAAAAATGTTTTTTCTTCAACGTATATGTCTGCAATGGACTCATCAACATGTATTCGAAGTGTGGTGAGCTGAAAGACTCCATCGAACTGTTCAATCTAATGCCATATAAGAATTCAGTTTCCTGGAATTCAATGATAGCTGCGTTTGGCCGCCATGGCTATGGAACAGATGCACTCCAGCTTTATGAGGAAATGCTGTTAAACAGTATTGAGCCTACTGATGTCACTTTTCTTTCGTTGCTGCATGCTTGTAGTCACGTGGGATCTGTTGAGAAGGGTGTTGAGCTATTGCGTTCAATGATTTCACGCCATGGGATTACTCCACGGGTGGAGCATTATGTTTGTATTGTGGACATGTTAGGCCGTGCAGGGCAATTATATGAAGCAAGAAGTTTAATAGAGGAGTTAAATGTGGAGTCCAGTGGTCTTCTCTGGCAGGCTTTCATTGGTGCTTGTGGCATTCATGGTAATTTAGAAATGGGAAGATATGCGGCGGAGAAATTGGTCATGATTACACCAGACTGCACTTCGGCGTATGTGTTGTTGTCCAATATATATTCAGCAGAAGGTAGATGGGAAGATAGAGCTAGAATTATAAGGAAGATGAAGGAGAAGGGAGTGAAGAAGGAGATTGGTGTGAGCTGGATTGAATTGGGGAAGAAGTTTCATAGCTTTGTGGTTGATGATGATCTACATCCTCACTCAGAGAGCATCTATGGGGTACTGAGTGAGTTGATTGCACTCATAAGAGATGAAGAAAATATGCTAGATGAGAGGTTAATATTGAATGAATTGGAGATCCAAGGTAATAACACATTAATCCTTTCACATTGATGAAATGCACTTTGAGGTTGTTGGTTGAAGGCATTATGAGCGTGTTGCTTTATTTTTTCTGCACATCCCAACTTTTTTTTATGCTTTATTTGAAGAAAAAGAAATGCAGAATAAAATTTTGAAGAATTTGAAATATACAATAACTTTAGTTTTCCCTACACCTGGAAATCGTCTAAATTGGGTGATTTTCAAATCTCATGCTGCAGTTGCTTGCGTTTTTTGTCACCCATTATTGTCATCCGCCGCCACTACTCTCCATTGTCACCCACCATTGTCACCCTTGTTGCCCACCACTAGCATCATGTTGTTGCCGCCTATTGTATTTCTATGCATTTGAAAAATATTTGAATGCATGTGATTGGCATTCAATGAAGTAACTCATTTATTTCTAAAATGCACGAATTTCAATGCCTTTGAGTTTCCCTTTCCTTTCCCTCTTCAGTGAATTGTTAGGAATTACAGTCAAATTGTGTATGCTTCTCTCTTTGACCACTTCTCTCAATTCACATTCGAGTATCTAATTACTTAAGTTATTAGATGATAGATAATTTGGACAAGCCCATGTAGTGTTACCTAATAGGCTTCAAGATAGTATATATGTGAGACAAGACTAAAGGTGCTAGGGCTGAGGATCCTGGTCTGGCTTTTCATTCATCCAACAATGACAATACATCCTTTTGTTTTTACTTTAATGATAGGTGCTACATTCTTTAGATGATAGATAATTTGGACAAGCCCATGTAGTGATACCTAATAGGCTTCAAGATAGTATATATGTGAGCCAAGACTAAAGGTGCTCGGGCTGAGGATCCTGGTCTGGCTTTTCATTCATCCGACAATGACAATACATCCTTTTGTTTTTATTTTAATGATAGGTGCTACATTCCATGAGGTATGTTTGAATCAATAGGTTCATGACATGTTGGGGCTAAACCTCATTGTCAATGGCCCCATCATTAAGGGACTTTTATCTTCTATTTCAATTGTCGTCCTATTAAAGATGAAAGTATGCCAGCCACAAAGTTTATTGTGCAAAGCAAACCATCCTTTTCATGATCATATTCTCATTCACAAATATTAACAAAAGAAGTCATGTAACATTCACGCATTAACAAGGAAAGAACGATGATCATCATGCTAATACATATACAAACATAAACCATTAATATCATGTAACAAGCATTCAAAAAAAAGGAAACAATGATTCATCATATATATATGTATATATATATTTGATGAGTAGTATTTTTAAAAAATTTAAATGACTACAACGCTAATGGATAAATACATTAATGTTGAGTCTGAGACACCTTGATGATATATATATATATATATATATATATTATGAATGGTTCGTTAGTTTTGATTGTATGAGTTAATCAAAGAGCGGAAACCAGTGCTGTCGTTCGTTCCCAAACGTCCAAGAATTGCTTTTCAAAATGAAAAACGCTCAGAAAACTCCCCCAAACGCACTATCAGAAGGGTGGATTTGATATATTGGTAACATCTTTCTTATACACAATCTAAACCTATAATTCAAGAAAATAATAATAATAATAAAACTAATATGATGTCAATTGATTTAAAAAATTAAAATAAATTATTATGTAGATCATATCAAATATAGTACCATAAAGTTGAATGATCTATCATTTCATTATATTTGAATAACAAATGAATAAATAATGAATATAGTTAATTAAGATAAACAAAATTAAAAAAAATAGAAATGAATACAACTTATATATAGTTGTTTGATCAATTTGTTCAACTAATTTGGAAGTACTACGTCCAAAATTAAAACTAACATAATTTTAATCATAATGAAATAAATCGCTAAAATCAATCTTAAAGATATTATTACACACATTAGATCAAACAAATAACCACACAACAACATAACTAATTTTTTAGACTATTTCATAATATTTTTAGAATTTTTGGGTCGTTTTTTCTAAAGACTTTTGATTTGAGAGGAAGCAATAACAAACGAAGCAGGGTGCAAAATAGAAAATTTCAATGGATCGTACTTTACGTTCTAAAGAGTGCAAGTGGAAGATTTTCTTTATAAAAAACAAATTGTATTGCCACTGCAACGAATCACCTAAAATCCTGAAACTATGGCTCTAGAAGAATGAGAAGTGCTGGATCGAACGTCCGTACTTTGACCCATCTTTCACTTTTTTCATTTGTTACATTCAACAATATATTGAATGAAAACTAAATGGTTCTTCTGGCAACACTAACAAAGATTTATGAAAAATCTTCTACTTCAAATAAGATTTTTTAGATGAAAACATTATTTAACATGAAGATTGTGGAAGATAATTCAGTGGTTCAACACAAAAAAATTTAATATTGTAACTAGCTAATTGTGTTATGTGGGGATCAAATTTGATGATGAGGTTAGAGCACGATTGATTCTATCTTCATTATCAAACAACTATATTGGTCATGAAAAGAAGTAATTCTTATGGTAATATGAAGTTGAACTTTAATGACATTGTGGGATGATCCCGAAAATATAGTTATGCAAAATATATAAAGTTGACTCCGTTTTGCAACGATGACAAAAACTTGATGTGTTATTTTATGAATAAGAAATTTAAGCAATTTATGTAGTTCTACGCAAGTATGTTCTACGCAAGTATGCGTATCGTTATCAAGTAATACAAGACTTTCTGTTTAAGCCCCAAATATCAATCCCACAAGGAATGTTTAAATTGAAAATGATAAATTAACTAAGAAATTCACAGCAATAAAATAAAAATACTATCACTAATTACGAATATTTAAGGTACTATCAAAACTAAATTATTAACTACTAGCAAAACTGTAATGCAAAGTTTAAAACAGTGCTACCAAACTATATTTTTGTGATGAAGTTATCAAATATGAAAAATCATATTTCCCACTACAATGAGTTTTTGGTTAAATGAGATGAGATAAATGGTTTAAATCTGTATTGTGCTAAATAGGAAAATTTTTAATGCTTTACCCTGATTCAATGTTATAGATAATCATTGGCTAACGCTCGTTTTAGTTCTTAAACACTAAGACTAAATTGAGGATTTTAGTCTGTCACCCTAAAATCTCCAAATCTACACCCAACAAAGTATATTTCTTTATTTATTTGCACTTAATTCCATGAACGAAACACTCCTCCATGGAATTAAATGTGATTCTCACTATGTTGTAGAACTCACTCAATTTCCCGGATCATACGTTTCACAACAGATTTTAGCATTTCAATTGGTCAGATCGAAAAGTAAATTAAGAACGAAGTGAAAAAACCATCACAATTTATTTTATATTTTAAAATTGGCACATTCAAATTATCTCTTCATTTCGTCATATCTCAGAGTAGGGATAAAGATAAAGAAAACTACTTAGACTGCATGAGAAAGATATAACTAAACACAAATTTCATATATAAAAGAAAGTTCATCCAAGAATAATAAACAAACAACATTTATCTATAATTCTTTCTCAAAGAAAATCATTTGCAGCCTCTCTTGAACTCTTTCTCTCTTTACAAGACTCTTGATTCTCTCTTAGAAGATGTAAGGAAGAAGAAATGTATTACTTCTCTTCCTCTCTCACAACTCTTAGAAAAGAATTCACACTTAAACTCACCACAAAACTCAAAACTCTAAGGAACTAAATGACTGATGGGCTCAAAGTGGTTGGAAGGGGGGGAGAGAGATTTTTCTGATCAATTTTCACTCTAAATAGAGCCTAATATCTGTTTTCCAATAGGTGCATCCAAAAACTCTTAAAAAAACGTCCAAATTCGTCGAATCTTCTAGAAATTGGTCTTGCACCGACATTGATGTCGTCTGCACCAGTGGCCCGTGAATTAATTCATTGCTCTCTATCAAATGGCAGCGCCGTCGGCGCTAAGGAAATGTTGGACTCCATTCTGTAGGTTTGCGTAGTCGTCGTCCACCCTGGCGCCGTCGATACTGAGTATTTCTTCCAAACTTTATTTTGACTCCAGATTCATTCTTTTTGCTTACTTTTTTGCTTCAAGTCCTAAAGATCAGCAACCTGCAATAAAACATGAAAAATATTTTCCTTTAAAGCACAATAATAACCAAAAATGAATATAAAATATATGTCTAAAAATGCATATATTTTTTGTGCATCATGTGGTTAGTGTTAAATGAGGAAGTTCACAAAAAGACGGTGAATGATAAATCTTCAGGTTCTGTGTTGATTATTTAAAAGAGGGGAATGAATATGGACAAGAATACAGATGGAGACATTAAAGTATAGAAGATGAAAGTCCATGTTAGGTAGAGGAAATGCTGGAACTACAAAAAGAAATGACTTTCAAGAGAGACTGAAAAGATTCAAAGAATAAGGGTGGTACAAGAAAGAAATCACTCTACAAATGTCTCCATAGGTAAAATACAAGGCGACTCCCTGATTTTATCAACTTAACACTGAATCTTGGATAATAGATTCCAGTGTCTTTTCATGCATTTCACAACAAAGGGGTGTTTAAAAATTACACTCAAAGTGGTTTAGAGCATGTTTATTTGGAAGACTACGAGGCCTGCAGTATTGTGAGAAATGGTGATATGGATGCCAAGTTGTTAAATAGAACATACTAGAAGCTTACTGAAATTAGATATATTCTAAGTCTGAAGCGCAATTTGATATGAGTGAGCTAGCTGGCAAAGTCAGGGTATGTGACTACTTTCACAGGTGATTCATGAAGGATGACCAGAGGAGACAATGGTGATAACTTGGGGCAAATTTGAAGGCACTTTTTACACGATCAATGGGATGGCAAAACCCGTTGATGTGACTGGAACCAAGGTGGATGCATGTTTTTGGCATCGTAAGTTTAGTCATGTGAGCGATAAACATATGAAGTTCCTACTTTTTAAAAATAAATTTAAGGGTTTGAAATCAACAGATTTGGATTTTTGTGAAGATGATATATATGACAAACATAAGAAAGTTTTTTTCTTGAATGGTGGGTCAATGAAGTCAAAGAAATTGGAGTTAGTGCATACTAGCATATGGGGTCACACTCTAGTTTAGTCCATTATAGGTTCACACTAGTTTGTCACATTCATCAACGATCACACCATAAAGTAATGTGTTTACTTCTTAAAATAAAGATTTGTTATATTTGTAGTGTTAAGAAGTGGAAGACCATGATAGAAAATGAGACAAGCTTGAAGTTGAAGTATCTCAAATCAAATAATGGGGACGAGTATCGTAATCAGAGGTTCAAGAATTACTATGGTTAAGAGGTGATCATACATGAGTTAATTTTTCCAAGATCTCCACGGTATAGTAGAGTAGCTAAGAGAAAGAACATAACCAACATGAAACATGTCATGAGTATGAGGTTGCATGCAGACTTGCCAAGAGTTTTCACATTTTTTACTGTAGATATTGAATACATGATTTTATGACATAACTGGGCAAAAAGAAGGGGATTGGAAAGCTTCAATGTGACAGTACGAGTGTTATTTATATTATTAAGAACACTACTTTTCATTTTAGGATGAAACATACTTAGTTGAGGCATCACTTTATTCGCTCTTCTAAAAGATGGGCAATTATTCTTGGAGAAGATGCACACAACTAAAAATCCTGCAGACATGTTGACTAAGGTGGTGACTATCGAGGAATTGAAGCTTTACTTAGCTTCGGTTCGAGTTCATTTTCATATCAGTGGTGAATCATACTACAAAACGAGACTATGAAGATGGTGCAAAAATTGGTACATTTCTAGAGGATATGTGTTGTGTTATTAGTCTCGAAGTGAGAGATTGTTGAGTCATGAAGCCTGAGTAGCACCCGGAGCCACAAAGGAAGGAGCATTCCAATGGCCAGTCAAACCGCATACTTACGCCAAATCAGTATAACCACGCCGATCTGAAGTTACGAGGCAATGTAACTATGTTGTTGGGACGGTTTCTTTGATTATGTTCTTAAGGCTTTGAATCAAAGCAAAGGGTGCGTGAACAAAATATTTTGTGCAGAACTCTGGATGGAGCTTTGAGTGTTAAAGGTTTAGAGTTTAGATTTCATCTGTGATTTCTCTTATACAATCAAGAGAGGATTTGAACCGAAGTTTTGTAAGTTTCAATGATTACAAAGAGAAAATTTGAGTGGCTTAATTTCCATACTTCTATCTCGTCCATATTGAGATTTCAGTGTGGCGTGGCTTCGTGATTTTTTCCCATTTTTAAAATTTTCTACATAAATATTGGTGTGTTTTTTAGAAAATTACTTTGTTATGCATTTCAATTCAAATTTTCATTCGAAATTTCCTAAATCAGTGTGATCTTTTTTCCCGCAACGTAATTTTGATTGCTAATTGATTGAAGCTCCAGCAATGTAATCCATCCCAACACTCTCACTAATCTTATTTGCTATATTCTGACATGAACTTAAAAACAATATTATCTCTATTGCATTATCTTCAGATGACACTGCATTTCTCCTTCAATCATTTGTGCAATTCATCATATCACATCACTCGACTTATCTGGCCCAAACTTGAAGTTCACCATAAGGCCGACTCATTCTTCAATCATTTGTGCAATTCATCATATCACATCACATCACTCGACTTATCTGACCCAAACTTGAAGTTCACCATAAGGCCGACTCATTCTTAGAGCCAGTAGACTCTTATCCAACAGAGCGATTAGGATGACAAGATGATCCGAGGCGAGATTGATTGCTAAATCTATCCCTAATCTACCTTGTGGGAGGACATTCATCAAATAACCTGCACTTTGATGGTGCATGTGTGGTTACCCCAGTTCCTCCATTTGTACTTGGCAGATCATACTAAAAACTTTCATCGATGGCATTGGCTTAACATAATCATTTTATTTGAAATAAAAAATGAAAAATTATGTGGCATGTTTGTAAATCTTTCAAAATAATCATCGTCATAATAATGGAATGCAACTTTAGCATAGCACCTGGAAGTGCAACATTGTGTTCATGGTGATGGGGTCCACCCACCCAAGCCTTCACCTCTGCCATCCAACCCCAGACATCTTCACCTGGAACTCTCTCCTCCGCTCCCACCCCAACCCCATCTCCCTCTACCCTCGCATCCTCCGCCATTGCACTCGCCCCGACTCCTTCACCTTCCCCCTCCTACTCTCCTCCCTCTCCCTAACCTCTCCCCATCTTCTCCCCTCCCTCCTCCCCCAACTCCACTCCCACATCCTCCACCATGGCCTCTTCCACCATCCCCACGTCCTCTCCTCTCTCATTTCCTCCTACTCCTCCCTCCCCTCTCACCTCCCCCTCTTTCTCTCCCTCCCTCTCCCCCTCCACGACCTCCCCACCTCCAACTCCCTCCTCTCCTCCCTCCTACGCGCCCGCCACCTCCTCCTTGCCCGCAACCTGTTCCACCAAATGCCCCGCCGAAACGTCATCTCCTGGTCCTCCATCATCCACGGCCATGCCAATCTCGGCCATCCCCTCGTCGCCCTCTCTCTGTTTAACGACATGCTCGCCGATCCCCGTGCCCCTTCTCCAAACCATTTCACCCTCTCCTCCGTTCTCGCCGCCTGCGCTCGCTTAGGCGCCCTCCACCACGGCCTTTGGGCGCACGCGTTCATCTCCCGTTGCGGCCTCGCCATCAACGCCATCCTCGCGACCTCCCTCATCGACATGTACGCCAAATGTGGCCACCTCCAACGCGCGCGCAAGGTGTTCGACGATTTGCCCCATCAACTTCGCGACGCCACTGCATGGACTGCTATGATATCAGGTCTCGCCGTGCACGGTCTTGCCGAAGATGCCCTCTCCATGTTTCGCGACATGGTACGAAGCCCCAGCTTGAAACCAAATTCCGTCACATTGCTCGCCGTTCTCCAGGCATGCGTCCATGGCGGGCGGGTCCAAGAGGGCGAGCAGTATTTCGCCGCGATGAGCCCAGATTTCGGCATCGCTCCATCGATTGAACACTTCGGGTGCATGATTGACCTCTACGCTCGCGTCGGGTTGATCGGCCGCGCGTTGTCGACAGTACAATCGATGCCGATGCGTCCCGATGCGCTCATCTGGGGAGCTCTGCTTGGGGGTTCGAAAACCCATGGCGATATTCTAGCATGTGAAGCTGCCATCAAAGGGCTTATCGAGATCGAACCGGGGAATAGCGCCGCGTACCTGCTGCTCTCCAATGTGTACGCCAAGATGGGAAGATGGGAGGAGTTTTATTCAACTAGGAGGCTCATGGAACGCAATGGCGTGAAGAAAACGCCTGGATGCAGCTCCATTGAGGTCGATGGTCGGATCCATGAGTTCTTCTCCGGTTACGTTTCGGATCCGGAGGATGAAGCGTTGTGTCTGATGGTGGAGGAGATGATGGGGAGGCTGAGGGGTGTGGGAACCAGGGAGGTGTTGTTGGATTTGGAAGGGGGAGGAGGAAGGGAAGGAGATGGCGCTATCGGTGCACGGCGAGAAGCTGGCGGTGGCTTTCGGTCTGATGAAGACGAAACAGGGGACGGAGATTATAGTGGTGAAGAACCTGAGGATCTGTGTGGACTGTCATGAGGCGATCAGACTGGTTTCGAGGGTTTACAAAAGATTTTTCTGCGAGGGATTGTAATCGTCTTCATCAGTTCAGGGATCCCATGGCAGCCCTGGCCGCACAGATGTTGTGAATACAAATTTTACATTGTTTCAATTTGCAACGTTAAACAAAGAACATATTTTGAAATTGATTTTCTTTAAATTTTTCATTTTTTTATTTTATTTTCAAAATGAAGAAAACTAGATCTTAATTATCCAATTAATTCAGTATTTGATCTAATTTAATGTTAATTAATAAAAAAAATTAATTTTAAAAATTACTCTTTTTATTTAGAAAAAATTTGAAATTTGATTTTAAATATTAATTGATAAAAAAAACACACGCCTGTAAATGTAATAAAAGCTCAAACCTAAATATAAAAATGTTATGTTTTTTTTTAAGTTGCTCATCAGCTACGCAAAGTGGGATCTCATTGGTCGTCTGCTACGTAAGACGGGGATGACTTTCTTATTGGCCACAACACGAAAGATGATCTTGTTGCTCGTATGATACGCAAGACGATGACTACTTTCTTCTTGGCTGCAACGTGAAGAAAATTCTCGTCGTTTGCCTGCTATGCAAAACAGAGATAACTTTCCTCTTGTCCGCAACGTGAAAGATTATATCGTTGCTCGTATGCTACGCAAAACGTAAACGACTTTCTTCTTCTGAGGGCTTATCGAGATCGAACCGGGGAATAGCGCCGCGTACCTGCTGCTCTCCAATGTGTACGCCAAGATGGGTAGGTGGGAGGAGGTTTACTCAACTAGGAGGCTCATGGAACGCAATGGTGTGAAGAAAACGCCTGGATGCAGCTCCATTGAGGTCGATGGTCGGATCCATGAGTTCTTCTCCGGTTACGTTTCGGATCCGGAGGATGAAGCGTTGTGTCTGATGGTGGAGGAGATGATGGGGAGGCTGAGGGGTGTGGGAACCAGGGAGGTGTTGTTGGATTTGGAAGGGGGAGGAGGAAGGGAAGGAGATGGCGCTATCGGTGCACGGCGAGAAGCTGGCGGTGGCTTTCGGTCTGATGAAGACGAAACAGGGGACGGAGATTATAGTGGTGAAGAACCTGAGGATCTGTGTGGACTGTCATGAGGCGATCAGACTGGTTTCGAGGGTTTACAAAAGATTTTTCTGCGAGGGATTGTAATCGTCTTCATCAGTTCAGGGATCCCATGGCAGCCCTGGCCGCACAGATGTTGTGAATACAAATTTTACATTGTTTCAATTTGCAACGTTAAACAAAGAACATATTTTGAAATTGATTTTCTTTAAATTTTTCATTTTTTTATTTTATTTTCAAAATGAAGAAAACTAGATCTTAATTATCCAATTAATTCAGTATTTGATCTAATTTAATGTTAATTAATAGAAAGAATTAATTTTAAAAATTACTCTTTTTATTTAGAAAAAAAATTGAAATTTGATTTTAAATATTAATTGATAAAAAAAAACACGCCTAACCTGTAAATGTAATAAAAGCTCAAACCTAAATATAAAAATGTTATGTTTTTTTTAAGTTGCTCCTCAGCAAAAATGAAGAATACTTTCATTTTTGCCGCAACGTGAAAGAAAATCTCATTGGTCGTCTGCTATGTAAGACGGGATGACTTTCTTATTGGCCACAACACGAAAGAAGATCTCGTTGCTCGTATGTTACGCAGGGAGTGACGACTTTCTTCTTGGCTGCAATGCGAAAAAAGTTCTCGTTGTTCGCTGTTACGCAAAACAAAGATAACTTTTCTCTTGTCTGCAATGTGAAAGATTATATCGTTGCTCGTCTGCTACGCAAAACGTAAACGACTTTCTTCTTCTAGAAAATCTCACTAGTGGAAGGTTCTACTCTTCATTCTTCTTATTTTTTCTATTTTCTATTTCTCCTCACTTGTGATTCTTAGAGGATGTCTAGCACTAAAGGCACTTATTAAAAAAAAAATTTAAATCTACATTCATATTAAAATGAGGATTGAAAAATCATTAGGCTTATAATCATTTCTCGATACATATTAAAACAATTTTAACAAATACTCAAAATAGTCAATTTTAAAATCAACAAATTTCACCATGAACAGGTTTTGAACTCAATTAAAAAAAAAATAACTTTTTATAAAATTCTAAAATCAATATACATGGAAAATACCAAATAATTACTTTATATTTAAAGTATTTATTTTTTTGAAAAAATAAAATATCATTTGAAATTATTTACAATATTTGATACGAAAGTTATTATAAAAGGAACTAATTTTGAATTTCTTCTTGTTCCATTAGGTTCACTTGATTTTTTAAATTTTATATGATAAGTTGCATGATATTTCAACATAGGTAGGGTCATTACCATTATTAGCGGTGGCGTGTGTGTACTCACAATGCGTGTGTGCATGGGTATGCAAAGGCAAATCAACAAGTGTATTGGCAAAAGTGCTTGGTTATGTACATGTGGGTGCTCTAGACTAATGACATGCAGGGTTGCGTACATACAAAGTCGAGCATGCATGGACGGAACATGCATAAGCTGTTGAATGATTGTGTGCAGTTGTGCACATGCCTATGGTGCGGCTCGCACTCTAATAGTAAGCACAAGTGTAGCAGGTGTTTGTGAACGACAAGCTATGCAAGAGCTATGCATGAGCAATGGCACAAGCACGTATGTTCATAATGCGATGCGCTTGAAACATAGTATCAGATCACGAACAGCCGTACCCGCCAACATGTGTGCATGAACGCACACGCACTCACACGCCGATGTGCATGCAACACAACCCAAGCAATTGTTGTAGTATCAAATTTTATCAACTATAAATACCCCCTTAAGAAGGGAGGGGTGAGATTCACCATTCTATTCTATCTCTAAGCTTCAATTTCTCTCTTAGATATGTTCTTCACAATCTTGTATAGGCGGTCTGTAATTCTCTTTCACAGGCTCCCATCTTCCTCTATATAATGGCTGGATAATGTCATAGGTAGACAATGTGCATAATCCTTTCAAGCTCCAATGCTTCTTCAATAAGAGCAATAAAATATCTTGTATTAAAATTTTTTATATCATTATCCATAATTGATTATCTTTCATTGATATTTTAATATTGACACAATTTTGATAGATTCTTGTACTAGATTTCAACATATATATATATATATATATCTCCCATATGTGTAAAAAATATATGGCATTATCATCATTCTCTTAATAGGCTCCAACTTCTTCTTTTGAAAGATGTAACATTGTCCTATTTAGGTGGAATGAAGTTCCCAATTATACCAGAAGCACAGGGTTATCTTTCATATGTGTTTGAAGGATATATAAACACATAATTCAAAATAATAATGTTTTAATTATATATTGAAAGAGATGTTGATATTCTCCATTGACGAATCCAAATAAAAGGTGATTAAAACTCATAGTTGATATTAGTGGCATTGGCATTGATCCCATTATGGGCAAATTATAATGTAGACGAATGTAATATACTTGTGATGTTCATGATGTTGATAATTCATGGACCCTCAATTATTATTCTTAGAAACTTGCCCATCTGAGAAGACTAAGTCATTGTATATCCTTAAAAACACAAGTCTTCATTAGAAATCAATATATTAGGATTGAGAAAGTATCCCCCTATGCGAGCACAGTGGCTTCCAACTCTTTCAAGGCTTGTGCTCTTTAAAAATTTTCGATCAATAAAAAAAAAATATACAACCAAAGTTAATACATATCCTACGTATAAAGAAAGATTATGTATCTTTTGAGCTATATGTCTAATGAAATTTTTTACTGTACTTATACCCATACCATCTGAAACTTTTAGACTTCTCAGAGTTTTTATGTAATTGTATCTTCTAATTTTTTTTTATATATGTAAATGTACCTGCTGAGACGTTGTCTTATGAGGATTTTGTATGTAATTGTATATTTTAAGGTTTTAGCCTTCTGAGATTCTTATATATATGCGAGGCTTTTAAACATACATAAAATTGTTTTATGTACATGTACATATACCCCAAGGCGATAACATTATGAAATTTTTGATGTACTTACGACTTTTGAGATTGTATGTCTCCTATGAAGCTTCTAGTTTTTTTTATGAGATTTTTAGCTTACTAAAATTTTTGAGTTGAGACCCATCAATCACTTACCCTTTTAGAAACTTTTTTTTGTGAGGACCATGTCGACTAATAACTTCTCATTATAGCTTTTTCATGGTTGTGCTTCGAGGGATATGGGTGTAAATTATATCTGTCACTTGCACTTTTAGGATTTTTTTATTGAAGAACATGTTGATTACTAACTTTTCATGAAGATTTTTCATATGCGAGAGTGGTATTATAAGTAATATTTTTAAGAAAATATAAAAATATATAATTGAAAGAAAAATCTAGATAGTTGCCCCCACTAGAGCTTTAATGCCTTGTGTCACGACATGTTGTGGTTTGAGCTTTACAGTGCTGCAAGTTGTGCTGCTAAATTCAACTATTGTGAGAAGCATGCAGCCGTCGAGCACTACAAGTCAAACTGCTTGCTACTATGTTTCGCAATGCTATGCTCTCCATCACCACAATTGCATGCTTTGCCACTCCAACATGTGCTATTGCTCAAACTATGGATGTTGCACGTAGGGTTGTGAATTTAGTTTGAAGATGGTTAATCACTCAAAAATTGATTTGAATTTAGACAGATCAAGATCAAATCAAAATAAAATAGCGGAGCTATAAATCAAAATTTTGGATCAAATTTTTTTTAACCGATTTTGAGCCGACCCCAGCTCCACTCGAAATCAGACCATTGAGAGCCCTAATGATGTTAGAACTATGAATTTACTGAGTATAGCTCGCATTTCATTAACAGCCCAAAAATTGATATGAATTTTGGCTTGGATCGAATTAAACAGGCAAAGCTCCGATTCAAAATTTTGGATCGAATTTTTTCAAGCAGAGCTCAAAATCGGATCATTAATAGCCCTACTCTCACAAGCCCAACACTCACATACATGTTCATGTACATTTAGGAGAAAGGGAGAGAGAGACTGACGGACGAAAGAAAAATAAGACTAAAAAGCCTTGAGGTTGGCACTAATGTCGACTGTTCTAGCTCTAACATTTATCATGAGCTTATTTAAGTTCAACTTAGACTTAATTTAAAGTATGCTATAAAGATTAATTTTGATATTATTCGCCAGAAGCTTGTTTGAAGTTGAATTAAGCGCGGCTCGAGCTTGTGTATACTGTAATTAACAAACTTTATGAACAACTTATTTGAAAAAAAAAATAAATTAGTCTTATTAACTTGAGTTTATCAAGCTTGGCAAATTAAATTTTAATTGAATAAATTTAATAATTGAGTGTTATCTTAATGAGCCAAGTTTATGAATGCACCGCTTCTCTAATGGGTGCCCTCAAGCATCAAGCCTTAATGAAATTTTAAATTGAGCTTCAAAATGAGCGAGTTCGTAAGCTTTAAAAATTGTCGCATTTTTTTCATTAATTAATTAAATGAACCTCTAATTAGCTCTGACTGAGCCCAGCCACAGCTGACATGTTGAATGCTCGGCTCATTTGCAACCCTATCTCAAGCCTAAGATACCATTCAAAAGAGAGAAAAAAAAAACACGAAAAAATAAAGTATTTTAAAGTAGATCTTAGTCCTTATAGATTTATGAATGTTGTTTTAATGTTTCTATGTAAGCCATATTAAAGTATTGACAGATAGCTTAATTTTCCAGTCAAAATATATTTGAGCTCAAAATCTTATATATGCAGTGTGCCTATATTTATGGTTAAATTGACCTAAATTACCAAAAAAATGTTTATGATTGTTTATATTTAAATATTTCATGGCAAAGTCCCATTTATTCCTTTTGAAAAGTGATGAATTATATATAATTAAACCAAATAATATCAGAAATAGACTTGCTAATCCCTTCAAAAAATTAATTTGTTCAAGCATAATTTTGAGATCTCAAATTAAGCAGTTCAAAAAAATTTGAAGCTAATATCTATCTATTTGTCACCAAACTAGCAAGATATATAAATCAAAACAAACTTTCTTACAATTACATAACATAAAAGGCTAAACTCCTGCTGTTGATTTCTTAACACCTATCATGAAAATAGACTTGCTAATCCCTTCAAAAAATTAATTTGCTCAAGCATAATTTTCAGATCTCAAATTAAGCAGTTCAATAAAATTTGAAACTAATATCTATCTATCTGTCACCAAAC